ACCGAGGAAAATATATCATTAAAAGCTTCCCCTGCTCTATGCCAAAATCCTCGTTCCTTCGTCCCGGATGGGAACATCGCGTTATTAGAGCCAAAGAACCAAGGGAGCCGCTCCTTACCGACATCCGTGCCATTAATATTTCATTTAACGCTGCAATTGTCCCAAGAGCAATACCATCCGCGGCCACGCCCCCTGCTTACACCTACAAACCTACGCCCCTAAATAGCCTTAAAATGTTTAATTCATTTTATGCGATTTCATTCAGCTCGGGTTTTAATTATGAGCACGACCAGTGCTGACGGCGCCTCGAGTGGATAGTCAGCCGCAGAGGAAGGCGCCTTCGGAGCGAAATGCACCGAGAAAATGTCAATTGGAATATTGAAAAAAATGTTTCAAAAATATTGCTGGAAAAGTGTAGGAACTTCCAGCGAAATCGGGCATCTTACAGCAGTAACAGTCGTACAGCCACAAAATGTATTTAGGTTTAAGTAATATACTTCATAAACTTATAATTTGCAGTGTATTTGTGTAGATGCTAGTCAACTGACTTGTGTAATTTGTGCATAAGTTTCATTTACTTTGGGGGCGACATAATCTTCAGTTGCTTACTCCGCCCCACGGCTAATGCCGTCCATGTTGGCCCCAGCTCCTTCTGATCCAGCGACTCCAACTGCTCCTCCATCTGCCCTCCACTGAATCCTTGGGCATCCACTTTTTCAGGCGGTGTCAGCTCTCTGGGCTCGAAAAAATTGTCTCAATGGCCTTGCCCGGTCTGGTTTGGTCTGTGATTATGCACTTGACGTGCATAAAGCTGAATTTTAATTACGAGTAAATATTTAAACCATTAAGCTCGAAAAGTATGCTGCAGTCTGAGCAGAAGACATTGGTGTACCAGTATGAAAAACGCGGAGGATGAGATGTCCAAGTGGTTGCTGTTGCTGAGTTTCCTCAGGCGGTTTTGCCAAAGCTGAGAAAATTAGAACGCACTTGAGGACAAGTAACATGAAGCCGAAAACTTAATTATAGCCATAATGACATCAGGTAAGGCAGAGCACTTAGACAACAATATTCCTAATTGGGTGCTAATGGAAAAAGCCAATATATCATGTGAGAAAACTTATTAAAAATGTAGTCATATTAAAAAGAATGTAGGATGCAGTTGGGAATTACTAAAATAATGTGTATTTCGATTTTATGAATAAGCTTTCATGGCAGAAAAGAGACTGCCACATTTGAGATCAAATGGAATTTAAAATTGCGTTTAATTTCTATTTAAAGCCTTTGAATTAATTTATGAACAAAAAGGACAGTCAATAGCAAGCGTACTTTTCAAACTTTTCCCATAAATACACATTTTTTGCTTTGTTAATTCTCTGATTAATTTGAACAAGAACAGAGAACAATTTTATTAATTGTTAAATCCTTGGTGGGGGCATTCAATTAAAAGTTTCTGCATCTGACGAGTGTCGATAACAGTGGCGGTCGAAAGTGTGTGTACATGGGTAATCAATGCCAATATAAACAGGAATCACTCATCGATCGATGTTAATAAATAAAAAATAAACAGGCTGGGGCGAAAATGTTCATAAAAATGCGAGGAACAAACGAGCGCACAGTCGGGAAAACTTTTCAACAAAGCCATAAAAAGTGGCGGAATATACAAATGGAAAAAATAATTCCATTTTCCACAGAGGTGGAGGCGGGGAGGTCCTTTGCATTTTTTCCATGCTTGTTGTTAGCTGTTTGCCTGCTGCCTGCTGATTATGTGTATTTGCATGCTAAAGCAGTTGTCCTGCTGCCCCCGCCCCCGGCCACGCCCCCTTCGTCCTTGTGCAGTAATGGTCGAAAGTGCCCCCCCATCACCAACCAACTCCCCTCTTGTCTACGCCTTGTTAACGTAATTTCCATAAAACATTTTGTTACTTATTTATCTTAATTAAAATAAATTTACATTTTTCTAATTTAAGAGCGCGACGAAGGAAAAACAACAACGTCAACTAGTCAGTCGTGGCCCCCAGTCTCCCCCTTGTTGGGCATTAGAGAGCGACATTTTCTTAACAAGCCAAAGGACATTTGCTGTCCTATGGGGAGAAACGGCGAGCCATCTCGCACACAAAGGTTCCAGGACGAAACACAACAAGGAAGGCGAAGGAAAAGCGTCGCAAAAAAGCTGGAAAAACTCATCGTAATGGAAAGTTGCCTGGCCTCCTCGCTCGGATCTCATTAGCGCCAGTTGCCACGAGACTGAGTCTTAAACTCAGGACGCTGAGTCCAGGACTCTGCTGAGAAATCCGAGGTCCTGGATCCCAGGGATGAGTATAAAATTAAAAGCTGATGAGCTGAGCTCTGGTCTGGACAAAATAAAAAGATTTCCTTACTTCTTTGCGTAGTTTATATCAGTAATTTTTTTCCACTCCTCTGATTTCTAAAAAGACGAAGCAAAATGTTTGCCGTGATGGGGAAAAAAATGCGACAGGAAATATGATCAGCAACAGGAATAAACGCGATGGGCGGAAAAGACTGTTCGATAAAAGGACATCAGACATTTTTAATCAACTGAGACTGGGGATTTGGATGAAAGTAAAATAAAGCAAGATAGCTTGCCTAATTGTGTGAAATTTATGTCTTTTGAGACATCTAAAGTAACTGATGCTATATTAATTGGAAAATGTATATACAAATATATAATGTATTTATGAGCTTCATTGTCGTAATTTAACTCAATAATATTAAAAGAAATATTTCTAATGAAATAAGTTAATTATGCTTACTTTTAAAACACGTATAAAAGTTTAGACACACTTTTAAAGAAAAAATAACAATCTAGGATCTAAATTGGTTATTTGGCAAACATTAAAGTGTGTTTACAACAGAGGAAGTATAATTTGAATGGATCAAAAGCCATTTCTTTGCATTCTAGATATCCCTAGATACTAAATTTCTTTAATAATGCAGCTCCAGTACAGTTGACCCGCCAATGACTAATCATTGGCCTGACATTAGCCGCCTTGTTGGCCCTGTACAGTGAGCCCGCAATCCTGGCATAAGCATGGCAAATCGGCAATAAATCAAAAATCAATACAGTCAACTCAACGCCATTTTGCATTCGATGATGGTGGGAGTTGAAGGGCGTCAACTGAAACCAATACAAAGGACATAAGTAAATCTGCGTGGGCCCTCTCGCTCACTACCACTTCATCCGTCTCTGTCTGTCTCCGCTGGCTGACAAGAAATGTTAGAAAAGAAACAAGCCGAAGAAAACGGGGGTGGTGGGGGTGGTAGGAAAAACAGCATCCACCCGCCAGGACACAAGTCCTGAACGAAGGGAGGAGTCAGGCCAAGGGAAGCTTGAAAAGAAACAGAGCTGGAGAGAAAAAAGAAAATAAAAAGTAAATTCAAAGCAAACGAGACTAAAATTATAAAAATTGCCCTCCTGGTGGTTCAGAGTGTGCCTGTGCCCCCACCCCTCCAAAGTTTCGTCCTGCTGCTCCTGCTCCTGCTTCTGCTTCTGCTCCTGATGATGATGATGATGGTGATGAGGAGCACAAGGACCAAGGACCAAGAGCAGGACCAAAACGAAACGAACGCGATTCCAATACGGGACATCAACGTCACTGAGGGTGGATGGTCCGAGTTCGAGTCCATATCCTGGGGGTGGTACATAAGGACCTTCCCATCCCTCTCCCCCTTCCGTTCCCCTTCACACCACTATATGCAGGAGCCATTATATACACACAGCACTCGCTTCTTCGCCTTGTGTATACACTATATAGCAATGGCCCGCAGCGTCAATGGACCAAAATAATAACGACTAACGGCCTGTTAAGGCAAAATGCAACGAACTGTGGGGCAGGGGGCATGGCCCAATGGGGATGGGGCCTGAGGGGTGGGGCACGAAGCGGCAGTGGGTGGCTTGAGGGCAGGGTGGCCAAGGTTTTTTAAGTGGTCGCGCGTGACGTGCACATCGGAGTTGTACACTAAAAACAAACTAATAGTATAATGAAGTGAATATAATCAAAATAAAATTCACAGAATGTCACAAGGATGTAAAATATTATACTATTATAGATAAATTATAAGTTTATTTAAAAGTATGTTTAACCACTCGCAAGTACATTTTTTAAAGCGGGCTTAATAGTTTCACTGGCAAATACCTTTCTTTGACATAATACTATTCCTTTTTCTGATTTGAATGTATTTAAATGCATTCAGCATAAACTTCTGGGTTTATTTATAATTTTAGATCACTTCCAAGCCGCACAGCGTTTTTCCAGTGCACGCAAAGTTGGGACATGGAGGGCATCTCCTGCTGACGTGGTATTTGCCAGCTACGACTCTGATCGGTTGGCCGCCATGGCAAAACAAATTTTTATACCACCCCCGCCCACTTATTTGCACACAAAACTCTTGTTACTAGCTGCCATTATGATTTTGAAAAGCCATTGCCATTCCACCACCCTCACTCTTGACAACTTTTTTCCACACCCACCCACTCCGCTCCATTTTTTGCTCATTGAAAAACTGTGAAATTTTATAATAAGCATTTTTTTGTTGGTTGTTGCTGCCAGATTATTGTCGATGATTGTGATTGCGTTTCATGTTGTTCCTTTTATTACCAGGTCAGAATGGGGAGTTCTTTTTTGGGTGGTTGGTATCCCCATTTGCTGCTTTTATTTGCGTCCCCGTTCTTGGCGCTTTTTTATGTGAACGGTGCTGTAATATTCCTTTTGAAAAAAAAATGCCATTTTGTTTGGCTCGTGTGCCTCTACAGATGCCGGATTTTCGTGCTCGGCCAGGCGCTATTGGTCTCCATTTAAGCTTATTAATTTTAAATGCGATTTTTAATTAAATATTATCAAAGCGTGTCGAGGGCGTCATTAAGTTCGAATGCCTTAGATGTAGCGAATGTAGATTGGCGTTAATTTGCAGGGAAGAGCTGAAAATCCCTACGATTCGGTTTGCACCAAGTGGATGATTTGAGAAGCGCAGAGAGAGGCTCTTTACAAATTCAATTATTGCTGTATGTGGTTCTAAGCAAGGCAAAAAATTGATACGACATGCTGATAACCTGGGAAAAAAACACTTTTCTAAAAATATATAAAAATAGATTTAAATTTTAAATGATACCTTCATATAGGTAACCAAAGATATGGGAGGAAAAGTCGGCGGTCTTATTGAAGCTGGCTTCTGACTTCTCATGATTAATAACTTCAACATGGTGCAATAGGATTTGCTGCACTGAAACCACTTTTGATTGTAAGCGGCATCTCCCACTTTCAGACTCTAAAAATGCTGGGTAATTTGAAGTAAATAAATATATGATATTTCACTTGAATATTACCGCGAGAATTAAAGAGTCTCCATAGTAGCACACCATAAATACCTGAACCATAGAGGTCATCAAAAAAATACAGTAAATAATAATCACTTCCGCTGTAGATTCGGTGACCTGAAAGGCTATGAAGCAAATCTGCATAGAAGCCATAAGGAAATTAAGCAGCAAAGAGAAACTATAAAGATCGTTGACGTGTTCGCAGAGTCTAAAGGAATATTATTAACTATTTATGAATTCTTCCAACGCTTAAGTATATTTCACTCACTTAAGGCACTTGTCGTGGTATCTGATAATGCCGATAAGGAACTCAATATTTTCTTTGTCCTCATTCGAATTACATGGATGATCCTCCAATCGCATTGATATATATTTGAAGTGCATACAAATCTGGGTAATGACTACGACGAGCAGGAGATCGGCGCAGAGAAATGCAATACCCGCTAGATAGGCCCCATGGGCTATATCCCAGTAGGTGATCCAGTAGATCAAATTATTCTTCGTGGCATCGAATGGAAACCAGATGAGGAAACCAAAATTACGATCAAAGGTGTCGTAGCCCAAGAAATTAAATTTCACGGTGGCCTTGATGGCCGGATAAAAGGAGAACGTAGTCGTATAGGCCAAGCAGAGGAAGGTGAATATATTGATCACACGCTTCATGGTCTTTTCAAAGTCCGCCAATTTATATTCCTTCTGCTTTGCCAGGGTTTTTGGATGCATGATCTCTAAGTCATCGAGCAGCAATATTAGTGTTTTCTTGCCTCTAATCATGGCAGCATGTTTAAAATCGGCCACCAGAGAAAATCCAATACATGGAGCCACGGCAATGGCCATTCGAATGGTGTCAAAGTCCTGAATCGATTTGTAGAAGAATACCAGTTCACCGATCATCAGCAGATTGAAATTTATAAATCCCGCATATAGATAGATCTTAAAGAGAAGCGATTTTAGGGGATTCGTGGATCGATGTGCGTAGATATCCTCTCCTATGGACCTGTAAAACTGTACTGGCACTCGCATCAATTCCATAAAGGTCCTGCTTGTGTTATCCCCTGCCGTTTCCATTCTATTTCACTTTTTTGGGAACTTAACAGAGAATTTTCAAATTGGAACTGCTTGTGGTCAGACCTTCGCGTTGCTCTTATATAGTGGGCGGCGATGGGCGTGTCTGCTAAGTTTTTATGCCCCATCATGTCGCGCCTTGGAAAGTGTTGATAATTGCGCCTAAACTTTTAACTAACCGATGTAATTAGCTGTGAACTTTTCTCACTCCTTGCAACCAGCTGAAAAGGTTCTCAAAAGGGAAAAGCTAGGGAGGCTAGGAAAACAGGAGTCGACCTTCACCGGCCACTAATCAACATGAATTGCAACAAAAGATGTCTCCATCTTGGCACCTGCATTGTACACTGAGCCAAAAGAGTGTGGAATTTTAAAACATTAATTTACAAACATGAACAAGAAACTGTAAGTTGATTTATATAACATACTATATTTTATGTTGTTTAGCTGTGGCTAGTTAGTTAGTGTTAGTTTACTTTCTGTTATTATTATCAATATAATGTATTTAAGATTTGTTCCAATCACCAATTGAATCCCAAATTGATAGCTTTATTCATGTCCAGCTTTCAAACAAAGGGCCCGAAAAGGTGTAGCAATGGAAAAGGACTACTCTACTTTGGACCATAATGAATGTGTTGAATGAAATGAAAATAATTTTTCTTGTTATCCTGCCTCGGCAGGAGCACAAATTGAGCGGAAAATAACTAATAAAGTCGGACGTGGATGGAGGCCATGAATAAAATGCAAGGCTCTGCCAGGCATTTGCCAAGATTATGGGTGGGAAATTGTGGGTGGGCAAAGTGGTGAAAATCCAACCAGCCATAGAACATTAGAGGGAATAAAGGGTCGGAGGTAGGTGGGGTCAGATGGAAGCCTTCGCCGGGCACGTGCAAAATGGCTGCTGAAAATTGAAATGCTGCCGATGCCACAATGGGTAATTTTCATTTCAATTTTCACAGTTTTCCTCCACTCTGCTGGTCTGACAATTTTTTGCTCATTTGCAGTTTGCATTTGAGAATTGAACTTGTGCCCGAAGCGAACAATGATGTTTCAGATGATGATGGGGAATCTACCAGGATTTTTTTCCGCTCGCCATCGAAGAAAAACTTTATCCCGCCAGCTGCGTGTGGAAGGAAAAAGTTTGGGAAATGCAGAAAATGTTTGCATCATATTGAAAACTCTTAGCATTCTTCTCCGTTTACGTTGCCATGGCCCCTTGGTAACTTTAGTTTGCTTCTGGATTTAATAATAGGGGGGGAATAGGAAAGAATTTCTAGGTTGTCACTTTGTAAAGTTTGCAGAGTTTGTATAGACGTATATACTTGCAAATTAGCATAATGGATTATATAGATTTACCATACATGTTAATTAGAAATAGGATTTATTTTACTAAAAATGTTTGAAAGCATGAAGCTTGTCAAATAAATATAGGTTCACAAGAACAAATAAAATTGACTCTATTTATTATTTATTGTTTTATTTATTTATAGGTTTTATTTAAAGTAACTTTATTACACGCACTCATCACGTGTTCGGTTATTCATTTTTACCATTTCGTTTATACATTTTCAATGATTTGTTTTCAATTACTAGCTTCTATTAATTAGCACAGCTGCTATGAATGGTAAATTAATACAATCGTACTCACATGCATATGCCCTTTTCTACTCAACTTATTTGGACTCAATTATATTCTCCTCTTTTCCTTTTGAGTTGAGCAATTTTATTCGTTTTGAGACTTTCGAACTAAGGGGTACATTGGAGTTGGGGTTGAGTTTGAGTTCGAGTGAATGAAGTTCTACGTTTTTCCTTTTGCGATGTTTTGCTACGTTTTATGCCCCTTTGAGACTTCTATGTTTCTACATAGATTTTCCCCTTTCAGAAACTCTTCCCACTGATGTGTCTCCGCTAGACCAGTGAGAACACTTTGTCCTGCCAACAGATGGCGCTGGCGTGCTGTGCAAGGATATGCAAATTATATCTAATTTCTTTTTTATTCCTGTCTCGAAACTGATTTTTTTCGAAGTTTCTATTGACAGCCGCTAGATGGCGGTTGTACAAGTTTAAATTTATATTATCTCAAACTCAAAAAAAACTGAAAAGTTTTGTAATTGTGTAAACATAAATTTTCGATTGCTTTAATTTCAAACTCTTCATACGTTCATACGTTTTTTACATGCAAATATAAAAACAATACATTTTAATGTTCTTCCACATTTGTAAAAATTTTTAAAATTTGTATTCCGTTCCTTTTTCTTTCAGGTTTGGCAAGTGAATTTTTTGTTTCTTGTTTCATTGCAGCATTTTGAAGAGCTGCACTTAAGCGCAGATTTTAATTACTTTCCGGCCGACTGGCAACGGAAGGAACAGAAAAAGGTCCTTGGGAGGGGAATTCCATTTGTTCACATAGACGGGGTGAAGACGAAAGGCAAATGCAGGGGGTGTATCCTTTTTGCAACATTTAGAGAATGCATTTATCTGACGGACCCTTGGAGCCGAGAATCTGGCATCTGAATTAGCCGCTCGTCTTTGTAGCAAAAAGAAAAGAGTCCGCCTCAAGTGCAGGGCATTATGTATTCATGGCTAAGAGAAGAAAAGCTGCGACTGTGACACATGTGTGTGCCAAATAGAAGGGGGATTGGTGGCTGGGGGTTGGAAAGGACACACACGGGAGCAGCAGAAGCAGCAGCAGCAGCAGGAGGGGCCAAAGAAATGCTGGGCAAGTGCACTTAGCAGCTTGTAGACGCCCCAGTTGACATTGCCACACGCACACCAGCGTGTCTGCCACTTGGGGGTTGTTTTCTTCGAGTCATAAAAAATTCGCACATGAGCAAAACACTCACACACAAGCACACCGAAAGCGAGACAATGGCGCTGGCAAAAGGAAGGCAAAAAAAAAAAAAAAAGCAAGAGGAGGGGCTGCAAATAGAGAGGGGGAGAACCTGGCTCGAAGTGGTTGCTTGCAACCCTGCTGCAATTTTCAAATGGCCCGAACGCTCAAGGCGCAACAACAGCAACGACATGTCCATGTCCTGGCCGCCTTTGTTACTGTTCCTGCTCGCAGGACCCCCTCTCCCATTTCCCATTTAACATTTCCGAATGGCCCCTCCTGCCGCCCCGTCCATGCGAGTCCCCACCTCGTGTAATCACAAACATGCTACAAAAGCCAGAAACAGGCTCAAGTTAATGACTTGGCAACATGTTGAGAACGCCACCAGAACACAACTCGGATGCACTTCGGAAAGGACAAGCACTGAAAACATTACTGATCTTATCCGTGAATAAATAAATACAAATAAAAATGGTACAAAAATAATAGAAACTGCTTGATCCACTTTTAAAAGTTTATTATGTTAAATTTTCGAAATTAAAGGCGTAGGAATAACATTGAACTATTTCCACCTTATACATAGATCTTTTTTATGATAATAATGTAAAATTATAAAAGCATATGACAAACATTTTTCCAAGTGCAGCTGCAGATGAAGTTAAATTCAAAGCTGTATCTGGAGATGGATGTGGGATATGCACCTGCATTTTATTGCATCCTGCCGGAGGGTCGAACAATGGGGCCTTTGTCTATCCAGCCAACCCGTCTGCCCAACCATCCAACCATCCAACCATCCTACCAACCAACCAACCAGCCATCCAAACATCCAGCTGTTGGCCAAGAACAATTCCCCTTTCGCGGAGTCAAAGTCGCGGTGATCTTGATGGCTAATTGAGCTGGGACAGCTGGGCAGGAATTTGTCCCTGTCCTCGAACGCAAAGAATTGTTTACCATATTGAATAGAGAAGTTGGCCGAAGCCTTGGTTTATCTTTGAAGCCCAATCCCAGTCCCAAACCCAATCCCAATCGCAATTGCAATGCCCCTTTCCGTCCCGGGATTAATCATCCATCTCCTGGGGGTGTCACGCATGCGCCTTTGTCACCCGTCTGAGCCATGTCAACACTTCGAATGTTTTCTGCCCGTTTTTGGGCAAATAACTTGCTCAGCTGAAATACCGTTAGCGCGGACGGCCTAAAGAGTTGTCATTCAGTTGTCGCCACAGACCACCGTTGGAGATGATGTCGCGTCTCCATCTGTCTCTGGTTTTTTGTTTTCTGTTTTCTTTTTTTTTCATCTTATTTTAGCCAGGAAAAAAAGGCCAAGGAGCTCCAAGTTTGTCTCCTCGGCTTTGCGGCGTGTTGTCGTCTGCAAATTGTTCGCGTCGCTATTATCCAGGGGCATCAATCTCCCGGCAATTGACAGGCCTGCTCCACTGAAAAACAGCCTTTTTATGGCCAAGACGAAATTATTTACTCAGCCAACCACCGCCACCGCAATTGTCAATCTGGGAATTGGCCCCCTTTCGATGCCATTGCAACCTCCCTCCCCTTCCTGCCACCGCCCCCTTTTTCGGGCTGCCCCTGGTTTTATGGCAATTTGATTTGTTGGCAGTTTTTCTGTAAATTGCTGCAAGTCTGCCTTTTGTCTCGTCGCTTAATTTAATTTGTATTTCGGCTCTGGTGTATTTATGGTTAGTTGGCGGTCTTGACTTGATTTTTTTATCCTTGGTAACTCTGATTGACAGAACTGAGAGGTGGGAAGTGACAGGATTGTCCGGAGTGTCGGCGCACGCTGATTGGATGTAAATGATTGTGGGGTTAATGGTTGATCAAGTTCGAATGCATTTATATTAGAGCCTTACAGACAACACAATAAATAACCAATACGTATTTGACAAAAATTGTATTATTTGAAAACATACTTGCATTGATCAAAATTACTTCTCCAAAAAAGTAATTTAAAGATTTACTTCTAAAAAAAGAAAGAACTACTTCTCGTCATAAAAGAACAAATGGTTTGCCAATAGCCTATTTTGTTAAATTTATATAAGTTTAAAGTCCTTATAAAAACGTAGTTATTGTAAGAAAAACGTTTTTTATTCGGTGATGCTCAGCGAAAAGCTCTTACCTCTTTCACTGGCCTTTTCCTACCTAGCTCACAGTCCGCTGGCTTTTCAGCTCCATCGGACTATACAACTTTAAGCTGATTTT